TTTTTGATTAAGTAATGACCATATCTATTGGATGTTGTGAGACATGAGATTCAATTCTAACGGCTATTTCTGTCCTCCCTTCCATCATTTTACACTTTAACTTCCCCACCCAATTTCTCAATCTCCAAATCACATCTCAATAGCCTTTTCCAGCCTAATTTACAACAATGGTGACCTCTCTGGTAGCTGCATTTGGAAATCTTCACAGTCATGTTCAAAAAGAAGTTCACAAATACTCATGTTTATCGACAGAGTAACACACATGACAGTAATGGCACTTGTGTCATTCTGTTGATTTCTCCAATATTTTTGCTTCTTTTCCACCACAACGACCTTGGACATTGGATCACCCAACTTAAGAAAGTCGGAAATGTTAGTTGTACGACATGTATCGATAAAATTTACATAGATTATATGATAACGAGTGGGTGAGATCACAAGTCACCAACTACTTAGAAAAACATAAATAGTGAGCGTAACTCTCAAAATTTGTAAATGGCATGTCCATCTTGCAACTTAAATGGGTTCAATTTATCGAATACCGAGGTTCGGACGGTTCGTGGACGATCATACTCCTGTTTATTGACAGAATGATACACGTGACCAGTAACAACACTTATGCCACTCTGTTGATTTCTCCAATATTTTGATTTATTTCCAATGCAACGATCTCAAGCACTGGACCCCTAACACGTAAGATAGTGTGTTGATTTCTTTTGATTTATTTCGGCAGTAACTAGTATATTGGATCCAAGATTTAAAATGAAGTTGGCTTAATATTATTTCCTAATGATTTATGGAAATGAAGTTTCGGATCTTGAGATTGAAAATATTAGGAAATTTTGTTACAAGCTGCTAAATGGGTACAAAACAAGACATGGATCAAGTGGTAACGTGAATCAATCTTCAAACTAAATCAAGGCATATACTTCTATACGCAAAAAAGATCGGTTGACACAATTTGATTTATTTATTTCTAATACCACTAGTATCGATAGTACGAAGTCAGATCTTAATATTTCCGTGGACGAACCTCAATTAACTAGGTTCGTTGGTTTTGTAATCAAGAGGTCATTCAAACTTTATTTTTATTTGGTTGCTTGGTTCAATAATTTGTGGGTCGAGATTCTACCATCTACAATATGAATTTGGGCTTCCTCGACGTTTTCAATTAGTTCAACGATTTCCACGTTGATCCCGTACAACGTTTCTTCCCTCTCTTCGTAAATCTACCCAAGCAAGGGACAGTCTCATATGCCAAGATCTGTAACAAATACAATTATTATATATAAATTTAGTATACAAAATATTTTAACGTTGATTATGTTAAACATTTGCTTGCACTATTAGGGGCAATCCATAAGTATCATACTTACGCAAGGATCCATAAGTATATTTCTATCCCCTATCGGA